AAATTCAATTGGAAATCAACTTTTGATTTTTAATATTTATTTGATAAGGCAACGAAGCTGTTTACTAAATAACTTTTCAGGTTTTATACTTAGTTTAGTGTAAATATGTGTCTTAGATAGTACATTTGTTATGTCATAATAATGTCAGAAACTTGATTACATATAAACAGATTAACAAAAGTATATGTTGTGGTAATCAAGGTCTTTAACATCTTTGAATCATGATCAAATGTATAACTAAATAATACGACAACAATATCAATATCTATTTTAAGAAATAAATAGTTTCTTCGGCAGCTTAACCTAGATTCATACAGTGTATTTTATTAAAATTTGTTTTCCTTTTTTTGTCATTATGCACGCGATTAAAAAAAGTATGAACGAAATTCATCCGTTTATTGTATAGAAATAACATTTTACCTATAGCATCGATTTTCTTTCAAAAACAAAAAACAAAAAACAAGGGGTACCTAAAAGTAAGAATGGGAAATTCACTTTGACTTAATCTTATGTACTTAAGGTCAGATTATAAACTTTTCTACTTTATTTCTCTCTCTCCATGTTAGTAGAACAATATGGATAGAGATATAGAATCTCATCTCATCAAAACAATCTAAAGCAAATGTTAAATGTATAGTATTGTTTTGTTTACTGTCATCTTTTATTGTTTGCTTTTCATTATATTTTTGACGATTGATTATAAATGTTGATTAAGTAGGTCGATATGTTTGTTAGAAGAAAATTCATATAGATTGATTAGGATTATTATTATTATTAACGTCTTATCTTTACTTAAACAAAAAAGAAAGAATTAAAAATCTACCAGTACTTAGTTTCTGATCTAATCCTGTCATTAAATAAATAAAAAAAATTTCATCCAAAACCTTTGTTGACCAATCATAATGCAGTAAAACAAGGTCAATATAATCAAGTATGAGTTGATGGAATTATGAAACAACCGATGATTATTGTTTCGTTATATTTTATTGAAGTTTATAAACACGAGGTTTACAAACACTGATTATATACATCGAATCACTAGAAATCAAGAATTAATAGGCTGCCATTTGTCCTTGATTTGATTATTTAAAAGAGTATGATTATAGACTCATTAGGAATTGAACCCATAGTTTTAACGTTATGAATGAATAATAATGATCCTATACGACCTATTTCGTAAATGAAAATCTACATAACGATTGCTTTCAAAACTGATGGTTTTGACAAATTTTATTTCTCATTCTGGACTCGCTTCAAGATGAATTCCTCAAGATCATGCTAAGAATGATCTATGAAGCTAGAGTACCCTAGGAGTAAAATATATTGTACAAGGTGCTGAATAATGTTTATGTGTTTATCTAAAATTGTTTAATTCATTTAATTGTGTAATTTACAAAAGTTATTTTTAAAAAAAAATATAGGAATCGACTAATAAATGAACTCTCTAACCGTTGGATATTTGCTTTTCTCACTACCGTTACGACATATAAATGCGTTTTAAACATCCAATTCATACTAATTAATTATATTTTGTGTGTTTACATTATTGTTGACTTTGTCTTGTTTGATTATTTGAAGTTGTTTTTTTCAAATGGATCACAGTGTATCAACTAAGCTTAATCGATTAAAACAAAAAAATCCCGTCAGACTAAATGTTAGTTTTATCAATTAATTTTACTGGTGGGAGATTTTAGTCATGTGAGGTTTTTTCTTAAGGACACGAAAAGATCTTATTCAAGATGAAATTGTTCAACTTATACAATATGACTGAAAATTCTTTGGTTCACATATAGTTAGTGCATTTATAACGCCTAAATTAGATGCCTCCAATAAACGATAATTTTGCATAAACTGAGATACTTTGATTTTGGTAAACAAACAATTTCTAATACTATAAGTAGAATTATCAAAGATATATTTCGGGAAACAGGTAACAATATTTTTACACTAAATATTCATTGATTGCCTAGATCTTGGGTAGATTGAATAGCACATAATTTAAAAATGAGTAATTGTGAAACATCAGTGATGTTACCTCACCTAGTTTATACTCTAGGCTTTTTCCACAAAATTATGAACTGGCGATAATGAGATGTGCTAACTTCAGTTATATATTTTAATTCAATGAATAATCATTGCCATATACTGTACCGGATGTCTGACTGTAGCAAAACATTGTAATCATAAAATATAGAATGGTGTAATAAATCTTGTTTATTTATTCACCTGACTGGTGAATATTCATCAAAATATATTTAAAGATGTGTCTCGACGGCGGTTAACTAGAATTCGTCTTAATCAATTCACGCTGTTGACTAGTTTTATTCGTAAGACATGTCTTTTTCATAGCACAAGGTGTGTGATGCATATGTGAGATCATTATGTACTAACCACTGTAGTGGCTCAGCTCAAAGTGTTCAAAAACTATCTTTGCAATAGGTTGTAAGCTTATCATAAAAGGGCTTTATTGTATGCGGTTCACATGCCTAACTAGTCAGTGAAAACGAAGAATAGGAAGATGTTTCTAAATATTTGTATAGCAAAGTTTAGGCAATTCAAAAGTGTAAGTACATTATCGATGTGAGGATAAGTACGTATGTAGAACAGTAAGATGAATTCCAATGATGATAACGGAGGATATAAGGTAGGTTTCACGCTTCACATAACCTATCATTAAGTGAACTCATGAATTCGGACCAACATAACAGTAAACCTTTGAAACTAGTCAGTAGATTATAAAGATTATAAAGTTACTTGTTGAAGCTATTGCTATCAAATATACTTTACATAACTCAGATCTAAAATCATTTAAATCCATTACGTACTATAGAATAATAAGTGCTTTATCAAACATTTGATCTAAAATATTATAGTTTATAGCTGCTACTATAATTATCATAATTTCAATCAGAATAATTAATTTTATTCATTTAATAAATTTGTTTAATGAACTTCCAATCAGTATGCTTAATTATATCTTCTTTGATGTATGAATTGTGTTGTTTTTCTTGGTTGAAGTCCTAGTCATACATCTTCATTTATTTATAACAACTGTCTTTAATTCATTTGAGATTTTCTTTTTTCCTTTTGTAATTGAATGTTTCGGCTTTTACAACATCAAAAGTATCTAATTCAAGATTTTAAAATGGTAATCATGTTTCTTATAATTAAATAATGTACAAATTTGTTTTATTTCTATGTATAGTTAAAGAGAAAACAGTGATGAATGATAATTATTGAAACAGATTTTAGAAAAGAAATTTGGAAAATGTTTCATCAAATTATTTTTTCTTGAAAACATTTTCTCTTATATTTGTGAGAAATCAATTTTCGGAAAGTATATGGATAAATAATTACATTCACTTGGTGTTGTTTGCTTGTATCTATCCATTGTTGTTTAAGATTAAAGTTGATCAGTCTCTTATTGGCATATGTATATCCTGTGCGGATTGCTTCGATATTGCCTTAAGTCAGAAGCTTTTGAAACAAAGATGGATGCACATATGACAACAAGAGACTGATCAATTTCAGTCTTAAACAACAATAGGAAGATACAAGCAAATAACACCAAGTGAATTTAAACTTCAGCCCATTGTACAGTCAAATAGCTATCGGGACTCAGTAGCTAAGTGGATAACGCAATAGCGTTTGAAGCAAACGGTACTTGGTTCGAGTCCCTGAGTGAACATCAACTCTGAGATGCAGGTACATCCAGCTGACGAGTCCTAAATAAGACGACATGCGCGTCCTGGATTCCACTGGTAGCCACTATCCATCTTTGCTTATAAAGAATGGCATTTTATTTGTGTGTTAGTTGATATATTAATTGTATGGATTAGTTAAGTGTTGAAATTTATTCAATACTTCAATGTTTTATAAAATTACATTCCATGTGAATTGAAATTTACTGTCAGAAAATAGTTTGTTAACAAATGTTAATTTTTTTTGTAGGTATTCTACATTTTACTTATTCCTTACTGGATTGAACAATAACATTAATTTCATTTTTAAAATGTTATTATGATTAAAGTAGAATTCATGTTCTTATTGTTGATTTGCACTACTGTTATAAGAGACTTAATAACTATGCTTGTATCTTCAGCTTCAAAGCTCATTGTTTTATCTTTAAAGTTAATGACACAATCCGTTTACTTAAGCGGAATTAGATGATGAAGAGTTTATACCTTTAACGAAGTGACTGAAATCAGATTACTTATGATCTCTACTACTGCTACATTTTTACTGTGAGAAATATTCTTTTCTTGAATAATCTGTTTAAGTATAGTAGCAATAAATAAAACAATTAGGTTGTAAGTAAAAGTTTATAGGCCAATTGTTCAGTTAGAAAAAACAGTTAATTTGATTCAAATGACTTAAATTTTGTATATGTGAATAGTCTATTAATTCAAATTTCTGCAGCTCATAATTGGAGATTTTGGAAGACATTACTCTTTCTGTGTGTTCTTCTGTAGAATCAAAGATACCACAAATATTTTAGCTCCCTTACGGTGAGTGCCTTAATGTTGCTTGGATTACATCGACCAAATTAAAATTTAGTTATTGAGCTGGGTAATGCAACACCTCTGGCACCATGTTGTGAAGTTAGGCCGTTGAAAATAGCTACCAGAAGACCCTGAACTCTAGTTTTCTGACAGCTGGCGCTACTCAGCACAAAGTACCTGCAATCTTCAAGAAAATCGATCCTCGTCGATGTTGTCAAATCCAGCTCATTCAGCTTCACATTCTGAGACGTTACTAATGAGCTATTTGGGTCAAAACGACTATGTCTCAGCATTGATTCCCTTAAGAATACAAACCCCCCTGGCTGATGCATGACGACTAATTAGAAACATAGATCTATGCAATCCTGATGCCTATCTTTAACCACCTAACAAGTAATAATATTTTGCTGCATAATTATTCCCAATAAATCATATATTTTAACATTTTCCTAATCTTCCGTGCTTTATGCAGTGCATTAATTTTTTTCCATATCACAGAAACAGACTATGAGGAACCAGAAAGTCATATTGTTCGACATAAGCCTGTTGGTATTAAAACATTGTTAAGGAAAACAAGATTCTCAAGAAAAGAATTACAAATTATGTATCAAGGATTTAAACAAGTAAAGTTCTTTTCTATATTTATTACTAATTATCTGAGATCTCAAAAAGTTGTTTTTACTTTTCAAACTATTATGTTACGTAAATTTAAAACTATAAGTTCTAGTGAAAGCCATGAACAGTGGAGTTTAACCGGGTCAGTTGTGAAACAGTAATTCGCTGATGACAATGGTGGATGGTGGCGCAATTTCTTGGATGGATTGAAGTTAGACATTAACACCTTTGGGTATCGGCTCAGTGGTCTAGAGGTTAAGTGTTCGCGCGCGAGACTGATAGGTCCTGGGTTCGAATCTCACGCATCGAGATCATAGATGAGCTCTGCTGAAGAGTCTCACAGTGGGAAGGAAAGGCCATCCAGTGCTTCCACGTTCTCCATGGTGGTCTAGCTTCAATTGACTCTTGAATTCAATTATTACATTAAAATATGTATTTACTTTTATATGTTGTAAAGAAAAGGAGTCAAATGGTAAACATAAATGATGATGATGAGATTTACTTGATATTTACTTCTGTAAAGAATTACAATATCAGTTAGGGAAAATAATCACGATGTAACTAATGATAATATTCTTTTAATAAACTAATAAGTAGAAAATTTTATTATTAATTGTCTACCTATTGGTTAATTTATCTCAAATTATTAAGTTAAACCTTAGTAATGATATTTACAAACTCATCATAATAACGAAGGCAGGTAAAATTCAATACATGTTAATGATGCTATATGAGCTTGACATAAATGTATTTTTACAAATTGTAAATAGAGGTTTAGCTATAAAAGTACTAAACGAACCTCATTATCAACCATAAGTTTTCTTACTAAATTGAATATGAAATCACTGTCAAAGAATCATTAGTGGTCAATATATCTTACTAATTCGAAGAGTGAAACACTACATTAAATCTCAACTAAAAACACTGATATATTCAATAATAGAAGCAATAAGAGCTTCACATCAAAGTATTCACAATATTTCATTTAGTCTTTTTGAATAATATTCAAGTTAGGAAAGAATAATGGAGAAACAATCAATTCTCCCTAAATAAAAATGATCAACAAAATTGGTATAACTTGATACCAATCAGTGTTCACTGACAATAATGTTAAATGACCAACAATCTATCTCTCAGATAAAATCTACATAATTTCATTCTAGAACTCGACTAGCTAAATTATTGAGAAAACTGAAAAACAATATCGTTTTATGGCAAAAATGAGTAATAATCCGTTTGACGGCAGTATATATATATATATATATATATATATATATATATATATATATATATATAAATGGATTCATAAAAATCAACTTGAACATAAAAAAACACTTTCCCACTGATAAATTTGTTAATCTATTGACTTTTGATAGGTCAGCTTTTTTGTAACTCTTGTTTTATTTCTAAATTTAACTAATATAAACCGGTAAACATAACAGTAAATGCATCTTTGAATTTTATGAAATAAACAGAGTAGAATTTCCGCGGTAAATATTTAAACCTACAACCCCAAGACATCTTTCATTGATATTTATAATCATTTTCGATGTACACTCAGTAATTTTTAACAGTTTTACAAGCTAACGAAGGATAGAAATAAATGAAAGAATTTCAATTCTCAAATTACCAGATTGACCGAAACATTAGGAGTGTAATTTCACAGTGTTTACTGAAACATCGAAGACAAGGTATTCAGCGAAGGGAACTCTTCGGTGAATTCATTATTCAACTGCATATATATATATATATATATATATATATATATATATATATATATAAACATTCTACTCGAACACTATTGGTCGAGTTAAAGCTTAAGGTGAACTATAGACGGAATTAACGACTCTAAGTTCTGCTCATCATGGTTTATACATTTTCCCACTTTTATTTGACTTTTTCATAGATATATGTTAAAGACAACGCTCTCATCATCTGAATTTTCAGGGATCGATCTCCCATTAGGAGATTCTCTTATTGAATTAGAATACGCAGATATTATAGCTCTATTTGGTGAAGACGCTAACAAAATGTAAAGTCTTCTAACTTTCTTACTCAACAATCCAAACATATCTGGGGTGTGTTTTTCTCCTTCTAAATGCCAAATTTTGCTTCAAGACTGGTCTCCAAAAACTTCTGAATTAATAATAGAGGGTGAAGAATTTAAGTAGGTTTATCAATTCCCTTGTGTTGGAAGTATCGTCAGTTTTTATGGTTTGATGTTTCACGAAATCTGTAAACGGATTCAGAAAGCCCGTTTAGCTTTTGTCAATTTGTCGCTTGTGGCATAGGTGAGATACTCGTCTGCCAAATAAAAAACGATTCTACTGCTCGGCAGTTCGTTCACTCCATTTTGTGTTTGTGAAACATGGCTTTTAAATGTGGCGGACACTCGTAGATTATTAGGATTCAATCATTGGTGTCTTTGATCGATTGCTCATATCTGTTGGAGTAATCGAGTTAGCGATTTCGAGGTTAAAGGCAGAGTATCAGGTAAGTTTGGCAAATCTACTGACGCAGTAGTAAATCTTTATCAACCGTGGACACTGATTACATTCGCCCATCCACCGACCAGCTCTACACGTTGTAATAGTTGATGCGGTAATAGGTAAGAAGAAAGTTACGAATGGTACAACGAAGACATGAGACCAGTTCATAAAGACACTGAATGTTGAATTCAGTCGTATAGGTAAGTGGAGACTACCTGTTCGGGGTTTACATGATTATCGTAACAAATGGTTTGAGGCTTTAAGTGGCAAGGTTTTAAATCGATTGCAATTGGAAAGGTGTATTCACTCTTAGTCTTCTCTTGGGTCTCAAGTTTCTGAATTCCCTATAAAATTTCTTATTTCACAAATTTATAATTTCTTCTCTCATATCTTTGACGCCTAATGTTTTCTATTACAACTAGTACTGATAGTTCCTCTACAATTATAGGGTTTGTTTTGAGAATTTCATCTCACTGTATTAACGGAGCGTAACAAACTGAACTGATGTACATATGCACCAGGTTCTATGTTGAGTATAATTGACTGACTGATTAATAAAAACCTTGTTAAAATATTACTTATTTTAGTGAAATTTATATTGATAAAGTTAATTTTTAAAAGTGACGAAGTTTTCTATTATGTCAATCATTTGAAAAATGATAAAAATGACGGTATTGAGAGATTTTAAACTTATAAAGAAGATTGATAGAATTGTATCCATTGTATTTTGTTTACAGTCTTTCAAACAATCTTTTATATAGAAAATTAAATATTTTTTAACCTTTTTAAGCTGTTCTTAAAATTAGTTATTTTCTTCTTTCCTTTGTTGTATTTTTAGGAATGTCCAGCTGGTACACTTAACGAGGATTCATTTAAAGATATATACTGCAAATTTTTCCCTCAAGGAGGTAAGTAATAATTACATGTTATAAGGATGATAATGATGTATAATTATACGACGGTTTTTTTTTAAATGAACCTAATGAAATCTAACCAACTAATTTCAACAACAGGATGTAATTTTTTGATAAGCTATAGAGAAAAAGAATAGTTGCCTTAATTGTAGCATCTAGTAATTGAAGTACACTGTCCGTACATTCTTTTGAAAATGTTATATAGATGACAGTTTAATTTTCATGTATCTATTTTTTGTTTCATTTTTTTAATGAAATGAATCACATTCGAGTAATTCAAACAACTTATCGCGGAATAATTTAACTTGAACTTATTAAACAGTATATGATATCTTATGATCAAAACCCCGTGTCAAAATGTAGTGTCTAGTACTATGTCAAGCTCACATACTTTATTCTTGCTTTCAGATGGATTGATTTATTCACTCCCCTTGACTCATATTTTGACCTTGTCAATTATATGCTTATTAACCTTGACCTTTTATATGAGTGTTTGTGTGTATTGCTTACCCTATTCATCACTTATCTTTATCTTATTTTTGTCTGGTTGTAAATATTGAATCAAGCTTCATAGAATGGAATTGGAATGTTTGCCTTCTCCGATCTGCTTCTACGCTTCGTTTTCTCACTTCTCATTCTCAGTGTTTGTCTGAACGAATGAGTGCCTAAAATAAATTCATCAAACGCAACCCCTTATTTAACTTCTTATTACAGCCGTCACATAAACAAGGTTAGCCTAAGTAATTTATCAAGTTAAATGGAAGATTTATATTCATAGTTAATTCATTCATTCTTTGATATTGGAATCAAACCAACGGGTTACCACAAATGTCTTCATTTTTACTAATAAACTACACTTAATTCCTTCTAAATGAAAATAGATATAAAATATGACTGCGCTTAAGTATTCTGGAAGAACAGACAAATAAATTTTAATTTTATTTGATCTATAAAATTATTCTAAGGTAATACAATGTTAAAAATCATTATAATGTTAACGATTGACACTACTACTATGTCTGTGAAAATACATAACTTGTTGATTTTTAGCTAATTGCCTTGATCATTTATCATTTTATTAAATATCCCATTCATAACACACTTAAAAGTCATTCAGAATTAAGTTATACTTTGTTGGATAGGATTGATTCGTAGTTAAGTTTATCTAAAAATTAATACAGGCTCTATTTATACTTGTTGATAAATGATGATTTATAATAAGTGAAATCAAACAATATAATTAATTAGATAAACATTATATATTACTAAAACAGTTTCACTTCTATCGATTATCAAATTTTCATGTTCAAGTCAAACTAATATTGACATTGAATCTTATTAATTTATCTTATTAAATTTATTACATTACAAAATGAAATGTGTTCAGATTGAATAAAAGTAATAAACAAAATCAATTGTATTGATTAAATAATTATAAACTCATATATTATGGCACCATTTTTAATGTATAATGCATAATGATCGATTGAACTAGATTAAAGGGTACTAATTTATTTATAAAATAAATTACTTTAGAATATAACTCGGATAAACCAACCTTTCAGATGTGTAATAAAAATTCAATACCTTCCAATTGTAATTACAATTAAATAAATTATTTACATGATACACTTATCAAGTAATTAAGAAAAAATAAATAGTTGCTAGTAGTGGAATCCTGGACCCGCGTTCCGTCCAGATGAAGAGTCTCAAACAGGACGAAACGCGCTTCCTGGATTCCACTGATAGCCATTATCCATCTTTGCTTAAAAAGTTTGTGACTTAAGGCTATATTGAAACAATCCGCACAGGATGCACATATGTCAACATGAGACTGATTAGTTGTAGTCTTAAATAATAATGGGAAGATACAAGTAAAATAACACCAAGTGAATTTATCAAGTAATTGTTTTATTAAAAAAGGTTTAGTGATTAAAAAAATATCTGCATTACGGTAGAGATCATATAAATAACCTCTGATTATTTATCAGCTTAATGACCTATTTGAATTACAGTCATTGTCTTAAATTTTAGTTTTAGTTAAAGTAACAAATAAATGAATGTACTTTTTCTACATTAAAATGGTTAACTTATGTAAATAATCTACAGTGAACTTTCTATTCATTTGTTTTAATCGATTATAGTGTATTTGTGTATAAATTAATGACATTTAATTCATTTGATAAATACGTATTCACAGTATGGGGTTTGTGGAGATTGTAGCAATTTTGATAGTTGAATTCATGAGACGATGTAAGCTAGACCATCATGGAAAACCTGGGGCCACTGGACGGTAATTTCATACTAGTATGGGACTCCTCAGCGTTCTCTTTGACTGCATTCTCGAGCATTGATCTCCCATCAAGAGGTCCACTTATCGACTTAGAACACGCAGATGACATATTCCTTTTTGGTGAAGATGCTGATAAAATTCGGAGTCTTTTGGTACCACTGAGCAACAATGCTGAAATGTTTGAGATGCGTTTCTCTTCTAAATGCAAGTTGTTGCTTCAGGACTGGCCTGCGTCAATACCTGAAATAAGGATAATGAGTGAAATAGTCGAACGCGTCGACAACTTCGTTTATATTGGAAGTATGATCAGACCAAATGGGTTGGTGTCTGACGAAATTTCAGTACGGATTCAAAAAGCCCGTTTGGCTATTGCCAACTTATGTCATATATGGAGAAAGCAAGATATCTATATATCAATTAAGGGACGAGTAGCAGTTAGTTCTGTTTCACTTTACGGCTGCGAAATGTACTTATATTTGGCCACAGATGCCCTATAAATATTGTTAGCATCTGCTGGAATCACTGGGTACGTAATATTGAGGTTAGATATAGAGTATTAAGGAATGATGGTAAATCAGTTGATGTGCCGGTAAATCTCCATCAACTGAGATGGTTGGACCGCGTGTTACGTTGGAGGAAAGTTAAGGATAGCTTAACCAAAACGTGTCATCAGTCCTTGAAGTCACTAACTTCTAGTCTTAGTCATGTTGGTAGACGTAGACTACTTGGTTGGGATCCGCGTGACTATCGTAACCAATGGTTGGAGACTCTGGGTGACATGGCTCAGAATCGATCACAATGGTGTAGGTGTATGCACTCTCTGTCTTTCCTTAAACTATGAGACTAAAATCGCTTCATGTCTTTCTTCCTGTACTATATTCTTATATGCAGCTTTTCTTTTATGTAATATTACCATTGAATTAACTACTTCTATGAATTCGGTGTTCATCTTATTGTGCTAATGAGGTACGGCAACTTGGACCGATACATATATTTGCCTGGTCCTACCTTGTAGCCAAATGAATGACTAACCCCAGCAGTCCGCATCCACGACCCCGTTCGCGGGATTCGAAACCAGGACATTAAATTTCGCACGCAAATGCTTGCCTCTAGACCATTGATCTGGCTGGCATCTAACGGTGTTAATGTCTAACTTCCATCGATCTATGCAAGACTTGGCAACCAGTGCTTACAGACTTTTTACGATAGTCTAGTTTACATCGACACATGAATTCAACTATTAAAATACTTATTCAACAAAAAAATAACCCTTGAATAGAAATATACGCACTCAGGAGTGTGTATTCGGATGCTATGCCAACAATGTTTTCTCTTTTTTTGTAACTATTAGTCAAGTGACTTTTTATAAGTTCTTAGTCTAAAAAAACAAAAACTAAGGGAAATTATAACGTGTAATAATTTATTGTTTAACTGAAAACAAACCTCTAAGCAACTAAAACTATCTAATTAATTCAACGTTACAAGTTACTGATATAATTCGTTATTCAAAGAAATTTATTTTTAAAAAGAATATTCTATTAATGAATTGATCTCCATTTTTATTTTTTGGTAAAAAAATAAAATGCAAAGAATCAAAGTTGAAAAAACCCACTTTAATGTACTTCCACTTGTCTTTCAATACATATGTCTGTGTATATACTTGGCAATGGATACATTTAAACTCAATTAGAAGTGGACAGAATTGATTTATGCTTGTGTATAATGGATATATTGATTAATCTTATTCAGAACATATTTTTCTTTCAAGAAAAGCGATTTGAAAAATTTTCGAATGTATTGTACTAAGACAGACTGTGAGAATAGTATATAATCAACTAGGATTTAGCGTTTATATGAGTAGAATGTACTGTGAATGATATAAGTATATTATGATTTTACATGATCATTTGGTTTTATTTACTTTTATGGATGAAACATTTCATTTGTTAAGAATCATCAATGAATATAGGTGTTTGTATGAGAACCAATGACGATGTCGATAGCTATACCTATACGTTTTCAGTAAAATTCTAAAAGGTCAGTATCAGTTCAGCTGATGCACTGTACTGATTCGACATTATGCTGGTAGTTATAAAAAGCCTGTATAGGATTTGAATACAACCATTACTACTCTACTCTTGTAAAACCTAGGTACTGGGGATGGAAAATGTTTAAGAATACTTTAATGACATTCCTCCCTCTTGGTAGTAAAACAGTGTAAACCATGTTGAGTCTTATTCTTTTGTGTTTATGCATTTAGCAAACGTGGTTAGTTGGTTGAGAATCACTTAACATATGACTATAATGAATTTGATCTAGACCACTGTCTGTAAGATGGATCAGTAAAATAAAGGGTCTTTTTAATGTGTTAGCATCTGTTGGATCAGCATAAATAGTCTAGTGACATTATTCACACATCTCAGCAATCTAAATTATCATCATACATAACAATAAATTAAAAGTCAGTGGGAACATGACATAAATATGAAATTATTCACTATAGCCATTCTACTTAATGGCATTTTTTAGCAATAAAGTCTCAAATATACATCCTGTTTCTTTGTAATCTTTAGTTAAGTGTTACATTGAAGTGTCTGAAACATGTATTCTGGATAATCATAGTTAATATAAATACAACTATATAATTCAATGCATATTCTGCAAATATCACCTTGTTGCTCAAATAGAACAGAGTTAATAG